ATGGACTACTTTTATCTATTCAGTTTGGGAGAAAGGAACAGAATAATTTTCAGAGGAGAGTCGAGATCGACTGATCAAGTTCTAAGGGTTATTAAAGACTTTGTCCGAATCAAACTTAGTGACAATAATCTTAATAGAATTGATAGAGCTAATATTAACCTTTGTAATTACTGGGGTATAGATTAACATTTTTTGTTGTTGTAAATAGCGTTTATACTCCCATATGATACTTTTGTTGTTGTACTTCCTTCTTGGATAATAAAATTCTACTTATCCAAAAAAAAAAAAAAACAACAACAACATAAGTATTAAGGAGGAATGTGCACAGGGCAACGCAGCACCGACGGGCTAGAACAAAAGTTGATAAGCTGTAAATTGGGGGTGGGGGCAAAGTGTTGTGTATGTGACAACAAGAATAGATACCTATGTAATCAAAGTGTTCCGTGTTTGATTAAAGAAGCTATTGTATAATTGCACACGTTTTGCATCATATGTTGTTGTTCTTTTGTTTGATTTTGGCTGTGTGCCCAAATTTAATATATTAATTCCAAACCTTCTTTACAACCAAATTGAATTTGTATAATTTAAACTCATTGTTTCATCTAAAAATAATAATTTAATTTTTTTTATTTTAATTCCTATATTTTAAGTTTCTTACATTTTGATCTCAAAACTGATCAAAAGAAAATAAAGTAAAATCATCAGCAATTATCGATAAATTTACGGATTATTATAACATGTACCTCACTTTAATTTTTTTACAGTATTCATTTATCTATTTTTTCAACATTTTTTTTCTAATTTAAATTAAAAAAATTAGATAGTAACGAATAATCTTATAAATGAAACGTGCATTTATATCCACAAAGATGGATCCCAATACTTTGTGCAAAAATTCCAGTCACCATCTGTACACGTATATAATGGATGTCCACAAACATTGATTTCAATACTTTCTACAATAAATTCCGATCACCGTCTATGCACGTTTACAATCTTACAACCAGACACGCACCCTTCTTCATTTCCTTAACATAATTATGTAAGAATAAATCGAAGAGTGTTAAGTACGATAATACCTTTTTAAGAAAGTTAAATTTATATATAATTTAGATGTTTTTATATTTTTATTAATGATTTAGCTTTATATATTACATATTTTAAATATAATTCCTTAAAAGTTCATATCTTTAAACATAAAACTATACATCGATTTATAAAATCATGTTTCAGTGCCGTGCAAAATTATAAAAATTTATAACTTTGGCCTAATATTTGATATGCATCACTGTCTCTGAAAGTTGAATGGTTCTCAAGCATCACAATTCAACTAACACTTTTACTGAGATTTTAACTCTTGTTACTTTCAATCATGGTGTTTTTTGATTGTGTCGTGTTTATTATGGCTACGAACATATCACGATATAATGTTATTAATATCGATCATGAATATGGAAAGTCGGATGGGATGTGTATGGCAATGGGAGAACAAGAACAATAATGAGCAAACAGCCTTTTAATGCGCACGGGTTAGGGTGAACTGTACCCTTTATATTGTTTGGATAAAATATATCACAGATCACTGAACAATATTCAAATAAATATTTTAGTCACTAAATTTCATTTTTATACAAATAGAAGTAGTAAATTTTATTTAAAAAGAGGTGAAATGCTTAGAACTATAATGAAAGTTTATAATCATAAACTTAAACAAAATACATGATTTAGACGAATTCTTAAATCATTGGCACACGAAACTAGCTACTTGAGATCATATAATGATCATGCAAGGAAAATGTTAAAAACTCATCCAAAAAAGTCGAACAAAAGATAGATACGAATAGATCTAACTACATTGACAAACAAATCATAACATGAATCAAACTATTGAAAGACCACAAACAATCGCAAATTAGAGTTGAACGTCATGAAAAAAACTATCTCATAACACAAATCGTACCCAAATAAGCGTCTTCTTAATCAGTCGAGGCAACTTCAAATCCAATCATGAGAAAATTAAACGAAAAGAACCAAATGACTGATAAAAAAATACTGAAAGCGTGCCATAAAAGGCAGAATAAATCATACCATAAAGTTATAGTTATAAAATGCAAAGATACAATATAAGAAAAAAAAATATCAACGGTCGACAATTAAACCAAGACTAGTACCACTACCGACCAAGTAAAAAAGAAAAAATTGAATGGTGAAAGAGAAAAGTTTTTAGAAATCTGAATTAAATAATAAGATGATATTTTTTTTGGAATTGTTATAAAAATTATTAAATTTATCAAACTGCTATAAGATGATCATTAAATTTTATCAAAATATTATAAAATAGTCATTAAATTTATCGAACTTTTATAATTCATTATAGGATTAAATACTCTAGAGGTCACTAAACTATACAAAATGATCATTTTCGTCACTAAAATTACAAAAATTATAAAATAATCATTAAATTGATCAAAATATTACAAAAGTCACTATGATGTTATAAAAATTATAAAAGTTTAATAAATTTAATGATCATTTTATGATAATTCAAAGAGTTTTAATGATCATTTTGTAATAATTTGATAAAATTTAATGGTTATTTTTTAACATTTTGATAAAATTTAATGTCTATTTTATAGCATTTTAATAAAATTAATGACTATTCTATTAAAAGTTTAGTACCTAAAATAATCATTTGACAATGAAAGTTCAAACACATTTATAGGTATGGTGTTCGAATTAGAGACTTCTAAGAATAAAAAGCATCCTTTTAACTATGAGATTGCTTGATTCATGTTTTATTATAACATACTAATTAGTGTTTTATAACAACCGTTTTATAACTTTTAAAAATTAAGTAAAATAATTATTTAAACAATCTTTAACGAATCCTAGTATCCTTAAACTTTTTTCCATCATTTTGAATGGCGCCCTTAGCTTCAAATTTGATCATTCTACACTTCTACTTTTCTAAATTTTATAGAAAGTTTTTATAGATTTATTATAAATATTTATAAAATGTCGTTCACAGAAAAGTATTATATAAAATCATATAATTAAAAGATTAACACGAAGTATTAGAGTTAATTGTATCTCCATACTATGACCGCCTTTCTAAATTAATCCCTAAATTATGAATCTCATTTTAATTATGTCATTATACTTTTGAGCATTCTAATTTCATCCCTAAACTATGACCTCTTTCTAAATTAGTCTTCAAACTTTTGAATATTCCAATTTCATCGCTAAATTCATCCAAATATATCATTAGTTTCAACCATAATTTAACCTAAATATTGTTTTTTCAAACATATAATAATATAACTTGACATAACGATTCTATTAACAAGAGATGTGATTAGTATATATGTATAAATTGGGATGAAATTGGAATATTCAAAAAGTTTAGGGACCAATTTAGAATGAAAGTCATAGTTTCGAGATGAAATTTAAATTAAAATGAGACTCATAATTTAGATGAACTAATTTAAAATAAAAATCATATTTTGAACATACGATGAAATTAACTTTTTTAAAGAGGGATAGATTCTATTAAACTAAAACTCTTGTATACTATTTTTATACGGACGAGTACTTCAACTATTACTTCAACAATAGTGAAAATGAAATTTTAGGATAAATTTTATATTTAGTACTTTAACTATTACTTTATTATGTTTTGGTCACTCTATTATTCTTATTCAAAAGCATACCTAACGTTACGTTTTGATTTTATTTTGATCACCAACCGTTAAAAAATTAATAATGTTGACGTGATAATTTTTTTTTCAATGATAACATTATTATTTTATGATGACACATCAACATCATATTTAATTTTTTAATGGTATGTGACTAAAATAAAATTAAAATTAAAAGTTAGGTATAAATTAAAAAATAATTAATTGACAAAAATAAAACAAAAGTAATAGTTGAAATATTAAATTTGTAGTTTATTCTAAGTTGTACTGAATATTAAAATTAAGGGCTGCAGCCCTTCCAATTATTTCTGTCGGTTCATCGAATGTTAAGAAAATTTGGGATTTAAATCGATTCAAAAGGCAGAATGTTCCATGACACAAACTTATTTGGTTTCCATTACATATTCCCAAGTTTAGCTTGATAGCTTGGATGGCTTTATTGAACAAATTGCCTACTAGAGACCGACTTCTTCGAATGAGAATTGACACTGACAATCTTTGTGTTAATTGTAGTAACTCAAACGAGACGAGGGACCATCTCTTTTCGTAATGTTCTGGCAGTGGAACTATGGTATTGAATTTTGAAACTTAATGGGATGAATACCAATTCCTTCTCATGGGAAGAATTGGTTTCAAAGGCATGTTCATTATGAAAAGGGAAGTCTCTAATTACCACCATTTTGAAATTTTCTTGAACTGCTTTTATCTATTCTCCGTGGCAGGAAAGAAATAAAAGAATATTCTAAGGACGGAGTAGAACGATCGATTGCTTGCTCAAAGATGTTAAAGACGCTGTTGGAATCCGTCTTAAGGGAACTAACATTAATATACTTGATAGTACTAATTTAATGTTTTATAATACTTGAGGTATTGTCTAACCAATCATTTTATAGAGTGTTTCATTCTTTCATTATAGATTGGTGGATTGGCTATAACTAAACATTGATTTAAGTAATAAAATCAGAATTATCAACAAAAAAAAAATTTACTGAATGAGCTACATTGTTTTCGATAAAGGTTTTTCAGATGATTTAGCCGTGGTTATAAATGCAAAAATGACAGTGGGCACGTTGACCATGGACAGTGAAGGCTGAAAAATCTTCCATATGGGCGGCTGAGATTGTCCCAGCTTTGTCCACCATTCTCAGGTCCACCTTGCCTCAATCTTGCTGCTTCTGCTACCGACAACTTCCCTTGTCTTTCTCCTTAATCCATTCATTAAAAAAAAAACCCTCCTTTTTCACTACATACCCTATAAAAACACTTCCCTTTCACCATTTATTTCAATCTCAGAAACCTGGCAATTATCTCTGAAGAAGAAGAATGGAAGGCAGAGTGGCTTACGAGAACGATCTAAACCTCAAAGCAACCGAGTTAAGATTAGGGTTGCCAGGAACACACGAGGAACAACAAGCAGTTTCTTCCAGAGTCGGAAACAACAAACGACCGAATGACGAATCCGATGATCAAAACGAAACAGCTCCTCCTCCAAAGTAAGTATCCTTTGCCATGATGTTGTTTCTTATTTGATTTGATGTTTAGATTGAGAACTAATTGATTCTTACAACATGTGTACAGAGCACAGATTGTTGGGTGGCCGCCGATCCGGTCTTACAGAAAGAACAACTATCAGCCGAAGAAAACCGAGTCCGACGGCGGCGGGATTTATATCAAACTAAGCATGGATGGAGCGCCGTATCTGAGAAAGATTGACCTCAAAGTTTACTCCGGTTACCCGGAGCTGTTGAAGGCGGTTGAGAACATGTTCAAGTTCAACATAGGCGAATACTCCGAAAGAGAAGGCTACAAAGGATCTGATTACGCGCCTACTTATGAAGATAAAGATGGTGATTGGATGCTTGTCGGAGATGTTCCATGGGGGTAAGTCTCTTTACATAAATATATATGTGTGTTTATATTTCTTTTGGACGTGTCATGTAACTTACGAGGTTTTTCTGGGTTTTGCAGAATGTTTATAACATCGTGTAAGAGACTAAGAATCATGAAAGGTTCAGAAGCTAGAGGATTAGGCTGTGGTGTATGAATCTGTCAGATGAACAACAAAACAGAAGATTTTATTGCTCTAACGGAGAGGGAAATGTTTGATCATCAGCTTGGGTTGTCGGATCAGTCTGCTCAATAGATATAGTTCATCTAAGAGATTCAGTGAACTGGGTATGTTTTTGAAGGGATTAAGGTAATCAATCGAGTGAGATTTTTTGCAAGGAAAAAACAGAAATGGATGTGGATGTCCCCAAGTTTTGGTTATGGAATATAATACGCAAAGAAACAAAGTTGTATTTGTAGATCACATGTTTTTCTCTGTATGATTAAACTTGTATGGGTTGTAATCGTTGAATCTGCAGAAATGAATTTGATTGTGCTTTTGATCTTCATCATCTCTTTCATTTCTTCTCATATTCCTTATTGCATAACAAGAGACAGCTAGAACATGATCTTAACTAGGTTCGATTATTTTTTCTCTTTCAAATTTCAAGTTCGGATTTTGAGTTTTACTCTATTACCGATTTACAAAATTAGGACAATAAAATCAAAACTAAAATAACCTATTGTGGTCTTACTAAATAATTTTATTATTTCAAAATTTAATCTCTGGTTTTTTTCTTTTAATTTTTATTTCATTCTATATTAATCTTAATCAAAATTTAACTATATATTCCTAAATCAATGTGCATAGCTTTGTAACTTTAATTCCTCTCTTTTAATAATAAATTTCATCTCTTTTTAATTTATCTATCAATTTTATATTTTTTTTCGTTTCTTCAATTTTCCCTTTATTCTAAGTTAATTTTTAACCAAATTTAAACCACATATTTCTCTACCACTATTATAACTCTATTCAAATTTCATAAATCTAATTTAAAAAATTTAAATAAAAAATAACATTTATCAACTCAACGAACTTAAAATTTTTAATTGGACTCTATTAGATACTCATCCCGGTTAAAAAAAGGATTATTAAAATTTTTAAGTTGCGTGAGATTCAAGCATTTACAAAAGAAAGAAAGCATGTGTGTACAGTATACTTTTGACTTGTGAAGGAGTATCGATTAAACTACAGAATTCAATCATCAAGAAAAGGGTTTAGTTATAAATTAAATCCTTTCCCATATGAAAAGAAGAAGTCACTTGCACTAAATTCACTCAACATTTCAGCTTTATTTGCAGGGCAAGTAGCTGAACTTTAAACAAGGACTTTTTGATGACGGTCAAATTCTTATTTATTTTGGGGTTAATTGTACCCTACATCTCTAAAATATGATCCCGTTCTAAATTGGTCCCTAAGTTTTTTGAATATTCTCATTTAATTCAAAATTATGGATCTCCTTCTAAATTGTTATCCACTTTTGAATATTTTAATTTCATCCTCAAACTATGATTTTCATTCTAAATTGATCTCTAAACTTTTGAACATTTTAATTTCATCCACAAACAATCAGTATATGTTAATCATGCCCCTAAATGCAAAATAAAATTCTAAATCTTTCCCTCCACCCAGAGAATAGACTCGAAAAGCTGTATCGAAAGCAGTGAGAATTCCACCTAAATGAACATGCAAAAAGAAAGCAGCACTGCAATAATTTATACTCGGAATCTTTTTGTGGTTTCCAACGCTTAAAAATCTCCCTCTCTTTAAGACAGTGAACATCTTCATGTGTAAGCTTTGAATTTAATAATGCCTTTATGTCTCAAAAGAATATGTAAAAAAAATTATCTTATATCGGCGACATATGAAAATAATAAAACGGCTAGGGTTCAATAACAAAATCTAGAAATGGAAGAAGTAAATCCCATTTGATGTTTTTTCTCTCAAGAGTATGTATGTATTATTAGATTTTCCAGTGGTGACTGGTTAGTGGTTACCGAAACAATTTAACTAATAATGTTTTTATCAACCGAGGTTAATTCAAATGATAAGTAATTTGAAATCGTTTACGTGAGTCTTAAGTTTGAGATTTAGTGTATACATAAAATCTCCGTTGAGAAACTCTCTCACTAAAACCAACTATGCGGCACAGATCAATTCAATTAATTAGGACAAAGCCATGATCTTGGACAAATATTTATCGAGTAATAAGGAAATATTTGGGGACTTTGTAAAAAAAATGTTCTTAGCCTATATATGTTTCTTTTAAACAAAATAATTGTTGAGTTTGTAATCTGTTTTTTCTGTTATTGATTAGTTAGAAACGGTTTTGAATTAGTTAAATGGTTAGATTGAATAGTTGTGTATATATGCACTGATTGTAAACTTATAGATGTATGGAAAAATAAGATATTTTTTCATTTTCTCTCAAATTACAAGTTTAACATGGTATCAGGCTAGTCCGTTTCTGCTGGGCCTGTTTTCTACTTGGGCTCATTTTTTCCTTTCCATCTTGTTTTACAACATCGCCGCCTTCACATTTCCACAGCCTCGTCGCTTTCAGGATGCCTTCAACGACGGTTCCAATGACAGAATCAACGCTTGTTGATTTCAATCATCCACTGTATCTTCACCCTTCGGACACTCCGGGCACGATCTTGATCTCACATCAACTGTCTGGGCCAGATAACTACATAATCTGGAGTCGATCGATGCGAATCGCTCTCCTCGCCAAAAACAAATTAGGATTCGTCGATGGAATTTGTTGCTGCGACGATTTTCAGCCTCCTTTACAAGCACAATGGGATAGATGCAACGCTCTTGTGCTTTCATGGATCCTTAATTCTGTGAGCAAGGAGTTGTCTGCTGGAATCGTCTTCGCTTCAAGCGCCGCGTTCGTCTGGGCTGATCTCAAGGAACGATTTGACAAGGTCGACGGTTCACGAATCTTTTTCCTTCATCGTGAGATTGCAACGATGGTCCAAGGTGAGCTGTCCATTTCTACGTATTTCTCGCGACTGAAGCTTCTATGGGACGAGTATGATGCACTCGTACCGTCTTCGAACTGTGCCTGTGCAAGTGCTCAGTCAAATTTAAGGCATGTTGCTCAACAGAAGTTATTCCAATTCTTGATGGGGTTGAACGATTCATATACTGCTATTCGAAGCCAACTGTTGTTGATGCAGCCCTTACCTTCAGTCAACAGTGCCTACTCGATGATAAGTCAAGAAGAAGCCCATCGCCTTCAGCTATCTGGCGTCGTTCCTCTCCTGGAAACTACAGCATTGTATTCCAATGCTTCTGGAAACTCCAATGCTCCTGGCAACCGTCGAAGGTTCAATGGAACCTGTGATCACTACAAGGTGAAGGGCCATAAAAATGAGAATTGCTATCGCCTTATTAGCTTTCCACATGACTTCAAGTTCAACAAGAAGAAGGGTTCTCAAGCTGCCATGGTGGCTCACTCTGATCGTGAGGTGATTAATCCAGCACCACCAGTCTTCACTATTGAACAGTATCACCACCTTTTGGGGCTTCTGAATCAGGCTTCAGCTCCGAGTTCTAGTTCAAATTCCTCTGTGAATTTGGCAGGTACTTTCTGTTCTTTTGCTTATGATTCAATTGAATGGATTCTGGATTATGGAGCAACTGACCATATTTTATCAGACTTTAATTGCATGATTGATCATGTGCCCTGTACATCCACAATTAGATATGTTCAATTGCCTAATGGAAAATCTCTTGTTATCACACATATAGGTTCTGTTAGATTTCCTAATGGTCTTCAACTGTCTAATGTACTTCATGTGCCTAACTTTACTCACAATCTAATTTCTGTTTCAAAGTTAGCCCATGAGTTGAAATGTGTTGTTCTTTTCTATCCTGATCTTTGCATATTGTAGGATCTTTACAATGGCATGATGAGAGTGATTGGTAAAGAATTTAGAGGTCTTTACATGCTCAGGTTCCCTCCCAATTCTATTTTTTCTGTTTCTGCTGATGCATGTAAACCTTTAGTTAGTTCTGAAATTCTTTTAAACACTTGTAAATCTGTTGATGCAAATAAAACAACTCTTTGGCATGCTCGTTTAGGACATGTTCCAGCTTCTCAATTAAAAAAATTACCTATGTTTCATAATGCAAATTTGCATCAAGAATCTGTTCAAAACTGTTCTATCTGTCCTTTAGCTCGACAGTATAGGCTTCCATTTCCAATTAGCAATTCTAGGACCACTACTCCCTTCACATTAATTCACATTGATTTGTGGGGGCCTTATCGAATTTCTACTCATGCTGGTCAACGTTTTTTCTTGGCTATTGTAGATGACTACACTAGGATGTCTTGGGTGTACTTATTGAAGCTTAAGAATGATTCTATTTCTTGTCTTCGAACCTTTCTCTTAATGGCTCAGAACCAATTTTCTGTTTCGGTTAAAGTTGTTTGTAGTGATAATGGTCGTGAATTCTTTAATTCTGAATGTTCTCCCTTGTTTGAATCCTTGGGAATTATTCATCAGAGTTCTTGTATACGTACTCCTCAACAGAATGAGGTTGCAGAACGTAAACATAGGCATCTTTTAGAAGTTGCTCGGGCTCTTCGGTTTCAGTCACGAGTCCCTTTTAAGTTTTGGGGAGAATGTGTGTTAGCTGCCTGTTATATTATCAATAGGTTGCCATCTTCAGTCTTATCTTGGAAAACTCCTTTTGAATTACTATACAATAAACCTCATTCTTATGACCATTTTAGGGTATTTGGGTGCCTCTGTTTTGCCACAAATCTTACTCCTCATGATAAGTTTGATGCTAGAGCTTTTGCTTCTGTTTTTTTGGGATACTCTCCAACCCAAAAGGGTTACTTACTGTTTAACCTTGATTCTAAAAAATTATTCATTAGCATAGATGTTAAGTTTCATGAAACTCATTTTCCTTTTCATCCATCTTCTTCTTCCTTTTATAGTTCTGATCATGTTTTGTTCCCATCTAATACATTTGTTTCTGATGATGATTTCTTGATTCTAAATACTCCAAGTTCTCCACATTCTGGCTCCCTTCATAGTAATCCTACTGAGTTGGGTACTGTTGGTGAAGAACACTCTTCTCAAATTCCAGATCACTCTTATGCTTCAATAAGTGCACCTGTCCCTTCTAGAAAATCCTCTAGAGTTTCAAAACCTCCTACTTGGTTAAACAATTTTGTTTGCACTTGTCAGTCTTCTTCCTCCAATTTCAGTGAACTTTCTTATTCTCACTTACCAATTCATACTCAAGTATTCTTGTCTTCCATCTCTCAAATTTCCGAGCCTCAATCTTATTCTGAGGCTATTCAAAATCCACTTTGGGTTCAAGCAATGAAAGAGGAAATCCATGCATTGGAGTCTAATAGAACTTGGTCTCTTGTTCCATTACCACCAGGAAAAGTTCCTATTGGATGTAAGTGGGTTTATAGAGTTAAGTACAAAGCATCAGGTGAGGTTGAG